TTGGGTAGCATTCTAGCATAGCAAAAGACATGAATCATGTCGCACTTGAAGGAGAGCACCGTGTGTCCAGAAGGTCTCTAGTTATGTGTTACAGTCCAGTGCCCGAAACCCATGATACAACTATTATCAACCACGGAAACGAATCAGCGCAACTCGCCGTATTATATTCACAATCGTTTCGGAGGATTGTACTCTTCCTCTATATATACTGTGCTGTCACCAGCGCCAGTAGCCTGTAAGGTGGGCGACGGCGGTGGCGACGAGAAGAATGGGTCGTCAATCACCGCAGCGACTGCACGTCTGGTCTTTCCATCCTTTGCAAGCGATGACGGCCATGTGCCGTCGCGAATCCATCCAGCTTTGAGGATTTGTATCTGGAGGAAATTGTACTTGGCTTCTCAACACGCAGAGTTCAGGCACGATATTGAGGAATTATACGTACCACCAATCCTAACCTCATAGGCTGTTTCAACGTTTTCGAATCCGTCAACATGCGCCAAACGGCTTCCAGTCCCCCTTGCCGCCACACTTTTTCGTTCTCATCCGCTCCTGGTTCCGCCATGAGCAGCTCGAGCTTGTCCAGTGATGAAAGCACCGTCACTGTTCCCGGTGTTGGTGAGTCTCGTGGTCTTGTGCCTGCTGGTGATGCGTTACCGTTGCCGGCGTTGGTGTACGAAAGATGGAGAAAGGAAGGTAGTTTCCCTCGCGCTTTTGCTGATAATTGTTGTATGGTGGACATCAAGGGTTTACCGATATCTTCGTTCCCGGCGATGGAGGATGTTGGCGTTGTTGCTCCTCCGCTGACACGGCTGTCCCTTGTACGAATACTGGATGTCTCTATTGCGGATGCTTCGTCGTCTTCCGAGGACGTGGCCACTTTAGGTGCTGGTGGGTTGAGTTCTAGGTCTCCTAATAGCCATGCGGCTCGACGAGCTTTCCATAGTTCCGGACCTGTCGTGCCCGCGTAGTCAGCATGCAGAATGAACTTCGACGATCAAATGATGCGTCGCTGAGCCCCTGGATAGATTTCGACTGACCATAAGTAGAGGATGAAGGTCCTGGGTCTTCCACCGTCTGATAATTTATACCGGCTTCATACCATTCTCCCGCTGTTCCCCTCGAAGTGAAAGCGAGGCTGATCTGCGGTTTCGGCGACGGCGGGGACGAACTCGAAGGTGAGATGACAACGGTGACTGGTGTCTCCGTTGGCACTGACTTAGACAATGTCGATTGTAGCGATGTCATGTTGAGTCGACTATCGTTGTTCGTCCAATGCAACGTCCGTAAGCCTAGACAATGCTATCAAACCCGATCCTCCTCAAAGCTGCTGGAAGTTGCTGCCGGCACCGAACGACCCAGGTATGCAGAGTGCGTCAGGTTTGACGCTAGCCAGCTGCGATGGTATGTAATTCTCACTGCAAAGAAGTAGTTGATAAGGACCCGGAAAGACATTGAAAGCACCATCGTAATCTGCTTCCATAGACCGACGTTCTGAACTTATCGGCTGTGCGATCGAGGTCGTAATGGAATGGTGTCGATCAACCAACCAACTTTGTCGTATTCATTTGTCATATCCGTGGTCAAGAACGACTCCGTTCCAAGGTTTCGTGCATATCTCTTACCCAGGAAGATCGCCATGCGATGCAGTAGACTCTTGCGTGCGGCCAGACCGACTACCGAGGGCGTATTTGGTAAATTCGAGCTGCTCCGACCACCAAAAATACGCAAGTCCACTGGATCATCTGGAGACACAAAGTCGGCATACGTTCCACCTTCTCCCGTTCCATCACGGATAATACGACCATCTTATGTTCCTGTAAATCTGTTCACAAGGAAAGCAGGCGATGAAGCATTAGCAGAAGCTCCGCCGGATGATTTAGAAGGATACCATGGAGAAGCCGGAGTAGGGAATATTCAGACCGGTGTGATACCTCTCGGCGGAATGGAGGAGCGCAGCGTGAGGTATTCTGGAGCTTTAGTAGCGGAGATACTAGACCAAGTGAGAATGTTTGTCAAGGTGAGTTGCGGAAAAGACGGCTTATGGTAGAACCGCGTCTATCAGTTCTATGCTTCTTCATCCCTGTAGTATTCACACATTTATGCGTCAGCCAGGAATCACAACGTCAGCTATCGATAGGAAGATACATGACTTGATAGTCTCTAGGAATGCGTATCCGTCGCCTTTGGGGTACCAGGGGTTTACGAAGAGCGTAACGACGTCTGTGAATAACGTGATATGTCGTGAGTGTGCCTATTTCAGCATATCGATACTGCTGTACTGACCAGAAACATCCTATGACAGACGGCATACCCGACGAGTAAGAGTTAATGCCACTGGTCAATGACGATGTTGGCTCACCAACGTGACATGTCTTCACAGTCGTCCTTTACTACCAACCGACATCATCAACATCGACGTCACCATCTTCGCCCCACTTCCACGTGAGCTGGCGTCGGAATCTGCGGCACATCCAGTCCCATTCCATGGCGACTCATCGATAACGATATGCCTACCTGAGGTGGATGATCAGGGCCATGAGCTCGTGGAGATTACGCAGGAAGCGCTGGATATCGGTATCAAGCAGTGTGGACCGGGAAGGAAGTTTAGGGAGATTGGGTGCGCTATTGAGTGAGTCGTCCCATGATATTGATAGCTTGATGGTAATAGTTCGCTGATCTCTTTTTACATTTAGAGCCTATGTCAGGCAGTACGGGTACTCTGTCAATCAGCAATTCACAGGGTACGACACCATGCCAACCAAAAATCGTGTTCTGCGTGCGGGTCATGCATATACTTATACTCTGATTTGACAGGCATGGGATAGGTCAACGGTTTCACACCGCTCCCTGGATCTTACATCACGGTACGCTTGCCCATCCTCGTTTTCTTCCTATCAGGCAGGGCATCTAACCTCTTGCTGTAACTCCCTCTCCGAATACGTTCCGTATATCACAGCGAATGACGAACCAGGTGTCATGGAGCCCGGACACTGTTTTACGATAGAGCCTTGTATCGTGCAGGGTGATTGGTCGAGGGGGTACATATGGAACGATGGGTGGACGTTGGCGACTGAGGTCAGTAGTTCGGTTTTCGATGTCATTCCTGCATCAGGCCGACAGCTAATATCGGGTTCGTCTTGTTGCAGAGCAATGCACGTTCTGCGCAGTTTGAGCATCAGATCCTTATTACTGAGCATGGAGCGGATGTATTGACAAGGCGTAAATCGGAATAGCAGACGGGATGTGACCTCAACATCATTATGATTACAGACCATAGTGAAACTTCGGGCGATACCTCTGTGTACGTGACTGATCTCGTTGACTGATGCGCATCGCCATTCGACAATAGACGTGGTTTGGTCATTGGTATCTGAAGCCAAATCGACTTCTGCAATGCGTTGCTTGAACAGAAACGAAATGCATGGTTTTGCAAAACAAGTATATTGCAGACTATATATGGATGCATATCTAGACACAAAAAGTTGAAATCGAGTAACTATTTGGCCACTTCATTACAGATGCTGCTCCTCGATAGATGACATTCACCTTTGGCGGGTCAATCATTCCCGCCTTTCCGACTGATCTGCCTTCTTGGGTCTCGACATGCCCAGACCGGTTCTCTTTTCAGGCTGCTCTTCGCCGTCATTACTTTCGGGATTTCGCGTCCACTCAAAAGCAAAGGAGTATTGAGCAGGCGCTTCCAGCCGACCATCGTCATCCGAGGGTAGCGGTCCTTCTCTTCGTCGATTGCGTCAGACGTCGATTCTCTCTACTGCTGCTGCTACTACTTCTTCTTCTTGACCACTTGCTTCTGTCCGCCGGGTACAGGTACAGCGTGTGTCCGTCATTCCGGTAGATTTGTCCTCGGGATCGATGAACACCCCTGGAAAGTGGAACGAGCGGAAGGTAGCTTGATTGAAGGCAAAATGGTCTGCTTGCGGCCACTACAATCCGTTGTAAGGTGGTCCAGGCTGGATGAATCAGAACTACTACTAGCCGTGCGGGACCTCTCGAGTTTTGAGTCTTCCCCTAGCCCCAAAGCGTCACGGGCTGAGCGTTTTCGAAAAGCATTCGAGCGAAATCCCGAGAAAGGCAGAAGGAGCTGGAAGAGTGTGTAAGGAAGAAATGGACAACGTCTCGACATCGTGACTGTCTTTCAATTCATGCCGACTTGTCTCCGAAGAAACGGAGATTCTCGTTTGTTATGTTAGGCAAGTGGCGTTTCGTCGAACCTGGAGATGAACAGGGGGTTTCTTTTGCTTCCTGTTGATACACATCCTAACCCCAACGTCAATATATGGGGCGTATAGCCTATGAATCAGGGCGTATTCACATGCACCCGAAACGCATTCCTTCTTTGCGACACTGACACAGCTTGACCCTGTGCGGGCTACTGAAAGTTGTCGTTTATTCGCAAGAATGCCTGCCCTTGGCTGCATTCGCTCAGGGAAATCATACGACGGCAACCGCACATGTAGCAGTCATACAATTTTCTACCCAAGCCCGGCGCTTAGTGTTGTTGAACAACGGTTGGCAGCATTGCCAAAATGTGGAGAAGCAAAGATGAAGAGAGGAATCTCGACTTAATCGCATGCCTAGGCTACAACAAAGCGCTTGCCCAGACCCCTGCTTAGAATCATAGTTTCACGGTTCTGCACCCTGCTGTGATCCTGCAATCGCACGCACATCTGTAGGAGTGAAGCACGTTGCTCTGCGCATCTGCTTGGCCACGCACCCGGTGTCCCGCCATGCGCCGAAGATCACACATTTCAAGGGTATCTATGCCACAAGCCCAAATGTCAAGCTCCGTCACCTTGATGAGTTCCTCGCTACCTTGTGATGCGCGTAAGCCGACATTACTGCCTGAGGGTATTGTTCAGCCTTAGTATCGTCCCGATCCCACCTTGAAAGACAGCTCGGCAGTAGCAATAGATATGCATAGTTCTCGGCAAGCACACTTTGCTATTATATAATGACACTGAGCTGCCTCCACAGCGATTTTCTCTTTAGCACAGTGGTAGCTGCGTCGAGCTGTTATTCTATTCAGAATCGTTACTCGAAGGTCCTTGGTTCGACCCCAAGAAGGGAAGCATTTTTTGCGATCAACCCGGGCGAACGATTTTGCAACGCGGATTCGGGGTGTTTCTGGAAATCACTCGGTAGTGTCGGAATGCTTCATCTAGTACGTTGTACTCAGGACAGACCGTTTACCGGTAGACAGTAGTCGCTTTGAGATCCAAGCCCGACGGGTACAACTGAATTTTAGACCAAGCCCCATCGCCCAGCATCCAGCATCGGTCCTAACTCACTTGTAACGCGGCCCCGGGACACTTCCTTCAAGGGTAGGTCTTTGGAATAGCATTATTCGTAGCGTGCTTTCTCTCACAGCCAAGATCAGTTACAGCGGGAGACGACGTTCTAAGATCTACATGTAATAAATAGGATTCCTGTCTACGTTGGTATTTGATGACAATCAGCGGTTAAGGGATAGGTTGAATAGATATCCGGTGAATAACAAGTTATAGAGAAAGGGATTTACAACTGAAAACTTAGCTACGTATATACCCTTTCCCTGGCTCAAGGAGACATCACATGAGCAGAGTAGACAATAGGCTAATCTGCATAGGTAAGGTGAAGCTATAGCGATGTTAAAATCGATGGGTACATTTAACATTGATGTGGACATCGATGTACAGATCAAAGATGACCCAGAACAAATGTAAATGGACCCGCGTTTACAAGTCAAAACATTTAGCGAATGTTACAGTACCCCCTCTCGTACGCATGTGGCCGCCACTATTACTAGTCGACTTCAACCAACTTGTTCCAACAATCCTGCATCCAACAAATGTTCACCCTTTCATTCCCCAAACCTTCACACAGAATTTGATAGTGTTTTGGTCGTTGGCGGTAAGGAACTGGTGCATGGGTTTGCGGAAAATCCCTTCGCCACCGGAAAGTGAGGGCGAATTATTGTTTGATACAATCAGGTTGTACTCAACGAAGGTTTCGGGTGGCCCAATATTCTTCGATAGCATTCTGCACTTCATAATAGATCGCGTGAAAAACTTCATGTTTCTCCCTGGGATCACCGTTCCATCACGGCTTTCCACCAAATAGACGACATCATAGTCGGGATAGAAGCTGTCTGGAGTTAGCGGTTGTAGTTGGCCAACCGAACGTAGAGGATGAAGCCTTGGTAACCAAGGTTGGTGATGCCCCTACAGGCGGCCGTATAGTGTGAGACTCAGATCCAGTGCTCAGTGTTGGTGAAAGTCATATTGATTGATGACCTGTGTGTATAGTTTGGTGCTTGAGCTGTAAGGATCGTTAAACCAAGAATTTGTAACATGGTACCAGGTCGGTCTCTACATCGGCATACTGCCGTTGGCTCACGTGAGCCGTCAAGGTAGACAAAAGGGATAGAAACAATGGCGCGGGCAATAGTCGATCATAGGGAAAAAATCGTCTATCTTGGTGACCCTGCTGCCAGTCTCTTACATACATTGTAAGACGACTGAAAGGGATGAAGCGCATTGACCGTCCAGTGTTCCTTTACAGCTCTCAAGGGGTTCGCTGTCATCCTCCTTTCGTAGTACAGGGTGAAAGGTCACTGGTAAACGCTCGATAGAGGGGCACCCGCGTAGCTACCCGCGTTGTATATATACTCAATTGGCATTTTGTTTGTGTCTTCATCTGGAAACCGGTCACAACAGCTACGAATTGCCACGGACCGTGACTTAACACTGACGCAAAGCGCACCACAAGCGTACTAATCCGCTCAGTCTATCGATAGCCACGACAAGAGCTGGTCTCTTAACCATCCACTCGAAAAAGTCTATTATCCTTTTGGCAAAACAAGGGATATACTCGAGCTGGGCTTGCTTACACAACGTTCGTGATGGTTTGGAACTTCAGGGGATTTGCTTCCCTACTTCTGCTTTCGCAAACTGCCTGGTTCGCGTTCGCCCTCCCCACTTCTGGGCTTGAAGGTACCGACTGCCTCGCTGCGAGCGGAAAAGACACAGGCTGTCTGTCCGGTCCTCAAAGCGACTGGCAGTGCATCACAGGGAAAATGAAACAGTGTCCAAAGGGACTCGTCTGTGGCATAACCAAGGACGCCATTGGCACTATCATCGAAGGATGCAACTTTCCCCCGCACCCTGATGTCGAGCACGCGGCAGTCGGCACACAGTACCCACCTGGGACCAAGGTCAAAGTCGGCACAACCACTGGAGACGGAACAGCTCCCATTCCTAACTATTGTCAAATCCCGCTTCCGACCGCAGAGTTGGCTGCGGGTAGCACTTCATGCATTCGAGGATCACAGATCGCGAGCGTCTACACCTCCTCTGGCACTAACAGCGCTTGTGCCGGCATAATCAATTTCACCCCCGGCTCCATTTATGCTGCAGCATATCACTACACCTACCCCAGCGAGTCTCAATTGAGCAATAAATTCAATACAGAGTTGTGTGGCAAAACCCTCGACGTCACGAACATAAAAACAGGCAAAACACTCACTGTTACCGTCGTCGATAATTGCCCCAGCTGCACAGGTATAGCTCCTGCTTATGAAAGTGAGTGGGCCAGCATTAATGGCGCGACAATCGATCTCGATGACTATACCTTTGCCGCCTTATTCGATGGGGCTACTACGGGAGTATTTGACGTTAAATATACTCCTTTCGAGGGAGATGTGACTCGCAAGCTAGCTACTAGCCGGGACATGGATTAAACAATTGAGACGGGTTGAGCGCTGTGGCTGAGATGCTGCCTGTCTACCAAAAGGCGATAATCGGTTCGTAAACGGGTAGATGTATGTAATGAGCTTGAGGAGTGACCCGTTGCGGAGAAACACATTTCCTAGCCATCTTCTTGTTCTGCTTGCGAAGCAAAGACTCGACTCAAACTTTTTTAAAAGTCAGTTGTCTTTGTATAGAGCAAGCGCATGTATCTTCTATATCAGAAAGCATTATCGTGCTCGGTCAGATCGCTCAATTCTGGATTGGGGTTTGGTCGACTGGGATTATGTTGACTCCAGCTTTCCCACACGTACCAATAGTAACTTGAGATTAGGGCAAGTTCAGAAAGAGGACAGTGTCTATCTTGTGACGAGCGTCGAGCCGAGAACGAAAATTTAATGGCAGATCTATCAAGCGCTAAGTTGCTTATTAAGTTGCATTGCGCTACACCTATCCTGCATGGTCTATACCGAGGTACGTGCGACATACGAGCTGACCTACTTCACAGATCGGGCCCCGTCAAGCGAGAAAACAGACCAAATGCTTCCTGAGTGAGCCTTGCGGTATATTTTGCAACCAGGGTATTTCGCACAAGTTGCGCCCTAACCCTAAGCATGTGCATCTTATGCGCATTTAGTGTGCACGAATAGCTAGGAAACGCGGCGAGAGTAGGTAGACGAGACGAAGAGAAGAAAGCGCGGAAGCGTAGAATTCCAACACAATGGGCCAACGTGAGTATATGAAGTAACGACTGTTGTTGTCGTGGCAAGAAATCTACACTACGTAAGTAGTTAGCACAGCCGCTGTAATGGGTACTTAGCACAAGCAATGTACACTCACTATTTAAGACGATACTTGTATGCCGAGGGTGGAAGACAAGGGTAGCTAATCCTGAGAAGTCTTGCACTCAAGGTAGCTTCGGAATTAAAGGTAAATCAAAGGGTGAATCATAATGCATGAAGAGTCTAAAGTACAAGCTGAAAGTCTTCTATATATAGTAATCCGTGATCCTAACTGTAAAGTAACAAGAGAAGTCCCCAACTGCAAATGCATCACACTGCATTACAGTTAGTGGATTTTGCAGTTAGCTTCCCTAACCGCAAAAGTATCATACTGCATTGCAGTTAGCGTTCTCAAATGCCAATATGCCATAATGCATTGCAGTTAGTGGAGAGTGCTGTGTGTGGCAGTAACTGCAAAAGGGCCTCTAGCGCGGACGGTAGGCTGACTGGATGCGACTACACCCAATATCAACTGTACAGTGTAAACCTGAACCTATACTTGTCTCAATACGCTTCCGAGAACCTTTCATGATACGCCGCCTGAACCTCTTCGAAGATGGACCGTATACCCGATTGCCTTCCCATTACTTCTCGTTGTTGGAGAGCAAGGAGGACGCCGCGATGATGTATTCCCTTGCAGTGTTGTAGTCTTCGGCGGCCGCGCGACATTGAGCATCGTCACCCTTGCCGATGAGGTTGCGAGGAGGGGAAAGCCTCGTGGACATGGACTGCAGAAAAAGCGGAATGCAGATCAACGGGTGGTCTTCAGAGCGTCGTTCGTTGATGTTCGGCTCACCTGATTGACTGCAACTTCCTGTCAAACATTTTGCCTAACCTTCGCACCTGGCAAGGTGGTCCGCCTCGAGGGTCGATAATGATGACAGGTGGGAGGTCCACGTGTCGTGGCCAAGGGACCGGGGACAGACTCGTTGCATCTCCCTCCGCGAAGTCCGGTCGCTCGCTGCCAACCCAGACGCAAGCCAACGACCACGTCTGAGTCTTCTTATTGGACATGAGCGGTAACAGGACCAGTCTTTTGGCAAAGATGTCGACGTTGTTCACGTGATCCTCGGCAGGCTTCCGGTCAGACGATCTCGACCAAGAGCCTTGCGGACTGATGAGGCTATAAAATACCGGACTGAAAACGTGTACGTCCTCGCGTCCGAGTCTTTCCGAGCTCATCGAATGCTGATTTTCGCTGAGCTGGGACCACATGAACTTGAATGCGAATTCGACCACGGTAGCTGTCACATGGTTGCCCGCGCGAAGACCTTCCCAATCACGGTACATGATGATTTCCTCGTTCTTCTTAATCCCGTGGGATGTATTTTGCGGCTACGATCTCATCACCTGGTCGAGTTGCCCTGGCTGAAAGTTCGTCCACGAGCTCACTCTTAATGCCGATGATTTTGATCTCGAAGTAATCATTGTTGGACTGGGGAGCTGCAGAGTATGGAGGAGTTATCAGTATTGTATGTCTGGGTGTTCGAGCCTGCGAATAATACAAGTCAAAATGATGGCTGACTAAGAAAATTGGCGAGAGTTGGAAATTTGAAGTTGCGC